CCCTGGGGGGACCCCCCTCCATCACTGACTGGCCACTGGCTCCCCTGACTTGGGTGGCACCAGTCGCCTGTGATTTTAAACTCTACACAAGACTGCTGTCATCCCTGACACAACACAGACCTGACACCCCAAGCTGCCACAGGTAATGCAGGGGGAACCATGGTAGCCAATGTCCTGTTTGCATAAAATGTCAGTATATGCTCAAGAAATCCTGGGCACAGGGCCATGCCCCCTGCTACAGAGGAAGGCAAAAACTGCCACAGTCTGCACCAATTTGACCAGGGAGTAAAATTCCTTCCTGACCTCAAGTATGGTGGTTGGTTTGACCCTGAGCAGAGGAGCAAGACCCTCTAGCCAGTTACTTCTGGCTTTGGGAGCATTGGCACACACCAGTCAAAGTCCTCAGCCAGTACCCAGTGCATCAGAGGAAAGCTTAAAAACACCCTGACACAGAAAGGAGAGGGTGGAGGCACCAGCAAAGCCCAGAAGCATGGGAAATGCCCATAGCAGAACATAGGTATAGCTGCAGGTAAATGATCCCTGACCAGTGGCTGTTCAACCTCTTCTTGAACTCCTTCAGTGATGGAGAGTCCACGACTTCTCTAGGTACGAGGGTTCCACTAGGCAGTGGAAGTCTATTCCACTGTCTTGCTGTTCTAACAGGGAAGAAGTTTTTCTGGATATCCAGTCCAAACCTACTTTGCTGCAGCTTCAAGCCATTCACCCTTCTCTAACTTTTCCATGTCCTTTTTTTAAAATGGGGAGCCCAGAACTGCACCCAGTTCTCCAGATGAGGCCTAATTATTGCCACTACCACCTCCTATGTCTTGTGCCTAATGCTTTTGTTGTTGCATCCCAAAACTGCATTTGCCTTTTGTGCTATTGCATCACGCTGCGGACTCGTATTGAGTCTGTGATCTACCAAGACTCTTGACTCCTTTTCCATAGTACTGTCGTCCAGCCAGGTGTCACCCATTTAATTTTTTTTTAAATTTTTTATTATTCCTTCCAAGGTGTAGCACCTGGCACTTGTCTGCATTGAACTTCATCCTTTTAAGTGTAGCCCAACTTTCCAATCTGTCAAGATCCTTCTGAATTGTGTTGTCATCCTCCAATGTGTTGGCAGTCCTTCCCAGTTTCGTGTCATTTGCAAACTTGCTCGAGGAGTCTGTGCTAGTATCCAAATCATTAATGAACACATTAAACAGCACTGAACCCAGGACAGACCCCTCTGGGACTCCACTTGAAATGTCCTATTCTGACATGGACCCTTTGCTTGTGGCTATTGAGCCAGTTATCTCTCTGCCTTTTAGTTTTGTCCAGCCCCTATGTCTCCAAATTTGTTATTAGGTCATACAGGACCTTGTCAAAAGCCTTGCTGAAGTCTAGATACACTATATCCACAGCATTTCGTTCATCCATCCAAGTAGTTACTTTGTCAAAGAAGGAGATCAGGTTTGTTTGACACTATTTGTTTTTAATAAATCCATGCTGGCTACTTATGATCAGCCCCCAGATGGCTGCAAATGGCCTTCCTTAAGATAAGATACACTCTATCAACTTCCCAGGTATTGAGGTGAGGCTAACCAGTCTGTAGTTCCCTGGGTGCTCCTTTTTGCTTTTTTTCCTTCCTTTTTTCTTTTAAAGAGGGGCCCTACATTGACCCTTTTCCAGTCCTCTGGTACCTGGCCTGTCTCCCATGACTTCATGAAGATCATTGTCAAGGGGTCTGAGATCTCCTCTACCAGTTTCTTCAGGACCCTGGGATGAAGTTTATCTGGCCTTGCTAACTTGAATTCATTCACACCCAACAAAAACTCTCTGACTGTCTCTTATCTCTTCCCTCAGCTTGCCCCCTTCCTTATCCAGATAATCCTTATTTGATGTCTGGCTGAAACTTAATATTTTTGTGAAGACTGCAGTAAAGTAGCTGTTGAGTAGCTCTGCCTTCTTTGTATCTTCATTTAGGAGTTCCCCCTGGCTTATTAAGAGAGGACCCACAACTTCCTTGGTCCTTCTTTTGTGGCCAGCATACTCTCAGAACCTCTTCTTGTCCTTAACATCCTCTGCTAGGTGCAGCTTGTTCTTTACCTCTGACTTCCTGATTTTCTCCCCCCAGATTCTGGCTGTTTTCTGGTACACTTACTTGGTGACATGTCCATTCTTCCATTGCCTGTATGTTTTTCTTTTTCCTTTAAGGCATTTTGGAATCTTCTTGTAAAGCCACGTTGGTCTCTTGCCGTTCCTCTTGTGCTTCCATTGTGTCAGAACAGTTTCATGTTTGGTTTCCTATGCTGTGCCCCTTAGAAGCCCCAGTCCTCCCAGGTGCCTTTATTCTTCAGTCTGTCCCCCTGTAACACTGTGCCTGTTGCCTCCTTGAGTTGCACTTTTTTGAAAACTAGAGTCCTAATTTTGCTAACCTCATATGCCCTGTCCCAGACTCTGGAATTCTGTCGTGCTGTGATTGCTTCCTCCCAAGTTACTCATTGCCTTCACATCCTCAACCAATTCTTCCCTGTTGTTCAGGACAAGATAAACGATCCCCTAGTGGTATCCTACTTTCGGGAACAGAAAGTTATCCTCCACACAAGTTAGGAACTGGCTTGACATTTTTATGTTTGGCTGCATTGTTCTTCCAGCAGAAGTCTAGAAAAGAAGTCTCCCATCCGTACCATCCCATAACTTTTGAATAAATTTGTCACCTGCTTGAAAAGTGCCTCATTCACCTCCTCTTCATGGTTAGGTGGCTTATAATAAATCCCCACTATTGTATCAGTGCTGTATCTTGCACCTTTCATTGTCCCCTAAATGCATTCTGTTTTCCTCTCATCTTCCTCCTGAACGAGGGAACAAGTGTATGTGTTTCTGACATACAAGACAACACCACTATGTTTTCTCCCAGCTCTGTCCTTCCAAAACAGAGTGTAACGCTGATGTTGACGTTCCAGTCTAAGAGCTTAGATAAGACAAACACTTAAGACTTAGATCCTCATGTAGTGTGCAAGCCTAACTTCTCAGTGGATTTTAAAGCTGGAAGGGACCGTTTTCACACACTGCACTGATTTTCTGGATGCTATACATAGGTCCTAGGAATTCCTTGAATTAATTTATGCTGCAAGTCCAATTGCTGTGGTTGCACTAGAGTATATATTTTTAAAAATATTTCATCTTTATTTTAAACCACCAAAGCCTTGGGCAGATTTTCTAGTGGTCAAGAGCTAAAAATGAGCACCATACTTCTAGCCCGGATTTCTTTAGCTTAAGCCTCCTGCTACTGAATCTTGTTACACCTTCATCTGTGAGAAGAAAACCCTCCCTTACCAAACTTATTTTCCCAGTATGCATACTTACTAATTGATCAAATCATCCCTTAATTTTCCTTTGATAAACTAACTACTTTAAGCCCTTGAGGCTTTCTGTAAAAGTGTATCTTTTTCTTCTCACGGCTCTTTTCTAAACCCTCTTTCAGTTTTCCAGTATTTTTTGTGAACATGAGCAGCAGAAATTGAGCTGAGTGAAATGCTTTGTGTAAAAAGTATTTTCAGTGAAAAATGTAGATTTAGTGATGCTGAAGCATTTCATGAGTTCATGTCCATGTTGCTAAACAATTCAAGAAAATCGGATCTAAAAAAAATCAAAATGTTTCATTTTAGCATTTTCTAAGTGAAACATTTTGGTTTTTATCTTCAAAATGTGTTTCAGATTTCCTTTTAAGTTTATCGTAAAAAAATTCCAAACCATTTATTAAATGGTCAGTGAAATATAAGAATGAAATATTTGACTTCTTTAACTAGAACTAAAACTGGATGAGTGTAATCCAATAGCAGTCACACTAGTTATGGCATTAGAAGGTCATTATGCAACTGTCTTCTATTATGTTTCTTGCCCTTTTTTTTTAAAAGTCATCTGGTGGTGGCTGCTATTAAAGAGAGGACTGTGGACCAGATGACTCAATAAAAGAATGGTGTATATAGTAACATGTATTTATAAAAATGCAGTTTAAAGTTACAAAAAAATTTCTCTGCTTATTTTAATGATTTTTAACATGCAAAATTTATTTTTATTAGTAACTTCAAAATATAGTTGAAATTGATTCTAAGTCAGGAGTTGACAACTTTTTAGAGCAAAGCGCTAGAAACACTTCAACCTTGACTTGTAAGATGTTGGCCTACCAAGGGTGGATGGCGGCCTGGGCCATCCCTGGTGGGGGAGGCGGGGCAGCTGCCCCAGACCCCGTGCTTTGTGGGGCCATACAGGCCCTGCCGTGTGCTGCCGGCTCTGTCCTCGGGCCACTCATCACCCCTCCCTCCCCCGGCCCCACACAGGCTGATATGCCCTGGGCCCCACACACCCCTAGGGATGGCTCTGATGGCAGGGGAGCTGTGAGGGGCCCCATCCTTGTTGTGGCAGTTCAGCCCTGGCCCCTTCCCCACTGTCTGTGTGGAGGCATATGTGTACCCACCACCGGCAAGGAGCCTGGCTGGGGCTCTGCAGATTTCAGTGTAGCTCCTTGCAGCCTCCCCATCACCTACTGTGAGCAGCCTGGGCTCTGTGGTGAGTGACAAGGGCTTGGCCAGAGCCTGGCTGTGGCCGGCAGCTGGGAGGCTGCAAGCCACTGCACTGAGGTCTGCAGAGCCCCAGGCTGGCTTGTTGCTGATAGCAGGTGCACACATACCTCAGGGGAGCCGCAAAGGGGCTGGTCCTTATTGTGGCAGTGCAGCCCAAGCCCCTTCTGCACCGTATAAAATACCTTCACATACCATACTCTGGCACGTGTGCCAGGGGTTGCCAACCCCTGTTCTAAGCCATGTACTTTGTATTGCCATTCCAGGAAGTTCAAAATTGTTACTAAAATAACAATGAAATTATTGAGTATTCTATACTCCTAGCATCGAGTACACGTGGGTTTAGAAGCTGAAGTTCATTTTAAGTTTTATTAAGTATTAGTAGAAAAGGAACTCAGTGATATGAAAGCAAAATTTATTTTTTTTATTCCTTAGACCCCAATTTTGTTCGGACATTTCTCACAACATATAGATCCTTTTGCAAACCTCAAGAATTATTGAGTCTACTGATAGAAAGGTATGTGATTATTTTTTTAACTCTTCATTTATGTAGAAATCTACATTTTTTTTATATAGAGTATAATTTTTTTGAGTTTATTAATTTTTTTATTTTTGATTTAACTTTTTAAAGTTAGATATAATTTGTCACCATCCTCTTAAAAGTTTTCAAAAGCAAGTGTGATAGTATAAAATCAAGTTAAAATATTATCAGCTCATATAATTTGATGACGCTCCATTGAAATAAGTGGACTTTATGTTGAGGATCTGGCTCCCAAGCAGTGTTCCCTCTAAGGAGCAGTGGTCCGTAAGCGCGTTGCCTCTGTCCGTGAGCACGCCACCTCGGCCCAGTGTGGGACACTTACCAAAGGGTAAGGTGCTGAAGGCTGGATGCTGGGGGCCGGGAGCCAGGGGCCAAAGCTGGCTGGTGGCTGGAGGCTGGGGCCAGGGGTCAGGGGCTGGAGCCAGAGCCTGGTGTGGGCTCCCCGGCTCTGGGGAAGTGCTCCGCTCCTCCACATCCGGCCTGGGGAGTGGAGTACTTTCCCAGAGCTGGCAGAGCCTGCACCAGCTGCCCACACCAGCCTCCATCCCTGCCTTGCCTCACCTCGGGGAGGAGCCGCTGCCTGCCCTAGTGAGGCTCTTCTGGCTCCAGGACACTGCTCTGCTCCCCTGTACCACCTTGGGGAGTGAGGAGACATGTGGTGTCAGGGCCGGGGAGCAGAGCAGTGTCCTGGAGCCAGAAGAGCCTCACTAGGGCAGGCAGCGGCTCCTC